CTCTTCTTACCCCTCTAGGCACACCCCCTGCCTGCCATCTGACTGGCTGACTTATACTTGCCCCTTAAAGTTTGCCTTGACGTTGCCCTCTCTGAGGCAGTTCTTCCATCCTTATTCCAGGCTGGATTCTAGCAGAACTGTACTCCAATGGCCCCAAGAAGTCCCCTTACAGCCCTTACCACATAGTATCATCATCATCCTGTCTTGTGTGTGTCTGCGGCATTCCCTCAGAATGCAAGTTAGGCTCATCTTGCCCCAGCTCACCTGCCAACCCTCACCTTTCAGGCTGGGTTCCCAGGAACGTGTAGGAGAGAAAGGTCAGGGAACCAGCTGCTCCAGCTAGCAGCAGTCACACCTAAAAAGCTCCGATGGGAACGCCCACCCGTCAAGTAGTCCCTATCTTCCAGGGCCAACACCATAGCTGGGGGGTGAGGTAGCACAGCTCCTCAGGAAAAGGTGATCTGACCATTTGGTCCATGAACCAACATCTAGTGGAAGCCAGAACAGTATTTCTACTCAGGACTGGAAATGGGGAGGAAAGCTGCTCTCCAAGTCTCAGATCAAGGCAGTAAGTAAGAAACTGGTTTGGAGTTTCATCTTCCTTGAGGTACATTCACATCCAAGAACACACAAGGTTTCTCTCACACACAAGAACACACAGCAACACTGACACACAAGGGTCACACACACAGAGACACAACACAAGTGTCACACACAGGGCTTCATATATGGTCTCTGTCTATACCCAGCCTCACATATACACAGCCTGTCACAACTGGGCTCCCCACCACCACACACACATAACCTCACACAGAGGCACACACACACACAGTCTCACACACAAAGTTTCACATGTGCATACACTGCCACACATGATACACACAGCACTACACTCACACACACTGCAAGTCTCTCATATTCTTAGCTTTTCTCTGTCACATACAGCATCTCTCTTACACAAATGGGCTCTTGCTGCTTCTTATCTATGCCCTTTCTCCGCACAGTCTCATTCTCACACACAAGTCCATCTCTCAAAATACAGAATCTGGCGCTCTTACATTACGCTCAATTTCTTTAACACAGAGACTCTCTCACACACTCAGGGTCTCTCTCCCATAGTCACTGTCACCACATACAGACACACACACACACACACACACACCTAGTCTCACTCACACAGAATTTTATTGTCACACACAGACTTTCTTTTTCACACACATGAAGAGTCTCACGCCCACACAGAATCTCTCTTACACACACAGATTTTCTCTCTCACACATGCAGCCTTTCTTTTATACACACATACAATGCGATACACATACAAGAACTCTGGTCCAGAATCAGAATAAACATTTAAATCCTGACCCACCAATTTGAAGAGGCTTGGTGCCCTGTGAGGGGGAGGGGTAAACAAAGGTAACAGCAGCAGAGCAAAGATGGAGGGAGGGAGAGAGGGAGGGTGGGCAGAAGGCTGGTCCCTGCGCAGATGAGCTGCAGAGAGGCAGCGCAATGCAGCTAGGGCAGTCAGGCATGGGGGGGGGGGGGGGGGGGGGGAAGTCTGGGTTCGAATCTTGGCTCTGCTCTTAGTTCTTGTGTGCCCTTGGGCAGGCCCCTTGCCTTCTGGGTCTCAGTGTCCTCATCTGTCACTTAAGGATGTAGGAAGAGACAACCCTTTTGTGGGATTACCAGGGAAAGAGGGTGGCATAGATGGGCTAAGGGGTACTTTCTAACACCCACCTCCATGCCCCCCTAAATTGCCCTGCTTTTCTCTTAGCATCTGTTCTTCATGAACATTCATTCAAGAAGTGTTTCCTTTAAGGTTTTGTACCAACAAGACCCCAAGTTGGCCCATTTGTCTCTATTAGGGGAAGACCACCGATTACCCAGGAATGTAGGGTGGAAGAAGATGAATAGAGGCTGGAACCTGCCCCACCTGATCCTTACCTCCCTGATAAGGGTCAGAGTTTTAAACCTGAGCCCATGGATGGGGATGGGGTTGGGGGACCCAAAATCTTGCTAAGGAGTTAAGATGGTGAAAGGATAATGGGGAAGTTTAGCCCAATCCTTGCTTGGGGAGGGGCAAGGGGTGAGGAAGATGATGCTGTCCAAGGTCAAATGTGGGCTGAACAGGCAGCTGCTCTAGCTCAAGTCTTTGCCCAGCATGACCCCTCCCACATGTGCTAGTTCAACCCTCAAGTCCCCCTCCTCCCACCCCTCTCTTCCCCAGAGCTCAGCCACAGTTATATAACCCTCTGGCTGAGGGGCTTGTGTCAGAAGGGAGGGGAGGAAGAGCCTCAGTGTACAACTCAGGGGAGAATGGGGTCCCTGGAGACCTGGGTTCTAGTCTTGTTTGGCCTCTAGCACCCTGAATGACCTTGGGCAGGGTCCTCAGTGGCAAAACCAAGGACTTGGCTTTCTCCTTATTACCAACCCTCTGTACCCACACCTGCTCTAGAATTCAAGGTATAAGATTTTTACTGCCCCCTCCCTCAATGCTGAAATATAGAGTGCTTTATCCCAGTAACCTGTCTGGCACACCTATGCCTCTGCCTGGGGGAACCTCCATGCCCCTAAGTTACCCTACCTTCCGGGTCCTCAGCACTTCTTCCCAGCCTCACCCCTACCTCAAGCCCCAGTGGGGACGCAGGAAGGGATGGGGAGCAGCAAAAGCCAGCAGGGCAGAAGCAGGGGTTTGCCTGGCAGGGAGCAGGGCGGGGGGCTGGGGCAGGGGTTCACGCACAAGGGCGGGGGCTGAGTTCTGAGGCCCTGTTCAGGTCTCTGAGGGCAGATCCCAGTGCAGGCCAGGGGTGTCGCCCAGAGAAGGGGCTGCTTTCAGTGTCTCCCTTTGGGCTCAACCACTAATAGCAAAGGCCCTAAGAGTTCACCAGACCCTCTCCTACATTTTACAGATGAGAAAATTGATCCAGAGAGGCTATCTGGGGGGCCAAGGTCAGCAGCAGAGCATCCTTTCTCTCCTCCAACAAGCTACTGTCACCAAAGGGGAGTGTCCCATGAAGACACACCCACTTCTCACACACCTTCTTCTTGCTGGTTCCCTATAAGGGTCTACTCCCCGCCTCTCCATAGGTTCCAGAGAAAGCACAGGCATGAGCCTAGTGGACCCTTCCAACATCCTTCCCTTCTGACAAGGAAGAAGGACAGTCTCTGTTCTTAGAAGCCAGGTCCCCATTCCACCCCAAACACACACACCAGACAGCCCAGCCCCACACCAACTGTTGGTGTGTGTCATGGAAGCATTTCACACAACAGTTGATGTAAGGCTTGTAGCGACTCTACAGGGTAGAATTGGACTGACTACCTCATAGGTTATCCTTGGCTGTAATCGTTACAGGCGCAGATCACCAGACTTTTTGGAGCTCCTGGTGGGTTAGAACCATCGACTTTTTAGTTACCAGCAGAGTGCTTAAAACACTGGGCCACCAGGGCTGTCAAACTATTATCAGCCATCACCTCAGAAGAGCCAGAGTTGCTACCTGGGGCTGGAAGGCCTGTCTCTGTGTTCAACCAGGCCTCAGCCCTTCTGCTGCCCTGCAGCTGCAGAAATCCCTTCTGGGTATGTGTGGGGCTCCCAGTTTCCCTCCCCACCACGGTCTTGAGGGCAGTCCTCTATCACACATTCCTAATGTGTAGGGGCCAAGGCACAAAACTGCACACAAAGGTACATACTTGCATTCCAACATACACACATACTCGCCCATTCGCAAGACACACTTCACCCACCCAATACACACTTACATAAGTATGCCCAATCTACTCAAACACACCCATTCATACTCACACATATCACATTTGGAGATAAAGACATAAACTCTCAAATACATACAAAATCCGCTACTCTAGTAAAAAAGCACCCTTTCTCTTACACACACACACACCCTCAGCTCTGAAGTCTCTGGGCTCATTTTCCAATTCACCCCTGTCCTGAGAAGAGAGAGGACACAGCTCTCCCTGCCCGTCCACCCGCCGCTCTTCCCAAGGGTCTGTCACTTACCCGCGCATAGCGGGATGAGTAGGGGTCCTCGAAGAGCGCCCAGATGCGCGGCTGCCAGCGGCGCCAGAAGCCGCCAGGCCGTCCGTCTGGGGAGTCGCTGAGCGCCAGGCGCTTGGTCATCTCCAGCTCGTCCTCGCCGTCGCCCGAGTCGCCCGGGCCGTCAGCGTCCGCGTCGTCAGCGCTGTTGTCCAGAGGCGCACCGCCGAAGCTGTCGAGCGCCTCCTCGGCGTCGCGGTGCTGGCGGTACGTCATCCAGCAGCAGGGCTCCACGTCCGTCTCGTCAATGCCCCAGAAGGCCAGCTCCTCCTCGTAGAGAGGCCCGCACACGTCGGCCGGGCAGTGCAGTTTGCCAGTGCGGTAGTAGTTCAAGATGTGCGCGAATACGCCCGGGTGGCGGTCGAAGAAGAACTCGTCTGCGCGCGGGTCATAGTCGAAGTGGCTGTGGGCGTCGGGCTCTGCCAGCCAGGCGAGCCGCGTGCCGGGCAGCGTGCGCAGCGTCGAGCGGTACGTCTGGTGGCGCGTGCCGCCCACGTTGATCACGATGCGCTCGCTCTCGTCCCCTTGGCCCATTGCGGCGCCCCCTTAGGCATGGCGCGGCCCAGCGACACCCATGGGAGCAGCCGCCAGGGGGAGTCGGCGCCGGGGAGGGGGGCGCGCGGCCTCCTCCCCCCTCCCCCCAGCCGTCGGGGAGGACAGAGGAACTAGCGACCCGAGCTCCTCTGGGCGTTTTCTGTCAGGTGTCGGGTGTGTGGGATCCGAAGGGTCTCCAGGCGCCAGATGTGTGTGTGGGGGGGGGGGGGAGGGAGAGGGAGAGGTAACTGGTCCAGCTGCGGAGGAGGCAGAAGAAGGAAGGAGAAAGGGAGCGAGGGGATGCGGTGCTCAAGCCCCCGGAGGAGGAGAGGGGTGGGGAGGCCAGGCTCCCGACCCCATCTCAGCGGGAAAATGGGAGGACCGACAAAAAGCTTTTAGGGGTGGGGAGGAGGGAAGGTCAGCAACACCTGGTGCTAGACAGATAGACCAGCCCCTGGCAGGGGGAGGGGAAGAAAGGAGGCCCGGGAATCCGCACTCCTCTGTGTGGTGGTGGCCGTGGCGCGCTCTCGGCGCTGGTGAGATGGATGCCGGCTGCTTGCTTGCGTGGCCGGGCTGCAGCTCCGGGTGCAGGGCGGGCTCTAGCCCCCTCCCTCTCTCCTTGCCTGGCTGCCTGCTTCCCCCCGGCGGCGGGCGCACCCGCCCGCCCTTCTTGCTCCTTCTCCCCGCCTCCTAGAGGAGATGGCGGGCCCCCTGGGCAGGGGCGCCCCGGGCGCCGCGATGTGCTGCGGCCACTGAGCGCCGCACTCTGAGCGCTCCGAGCGCTCCGGCTTGAACTGAAGCTCCTCTGGGCTGCGCTCTGAATCCCGCTACGGCGGCGGTGCTGAAGGGACAGCTCCTGGAGTCCGGTTTTCCGAGTCGGGTTCGGTCTGCCTGGCGGGCGGCTACTGGCTCCAGTGCCTCTGCTCCTCGCGCTTCGCGTCCCGCTTTGGGGAGGCGGTTGGCGTGGCCCGCAGAGGCGAGGGGCTGCGGAGGTCGGGCCCGAGAGGCGGGGGTGGCGGGTCGGGGTGCGGCGAGGCGAGGCCAGCTGGGCCGGGGAGTAGAGGCGCGGAGCGGCCGCAGCCACCGCGACGCTGCTGGTGACCAGGCTGCTGCTCAGCTTGTTTCCTGGCTTGCTCGCTGGAGCGGTCCGCGTCCAGCCCGCCGCTCTCCGGACACGGGCACACGGCGCGCGCAGCCGCACTCGCCCCCAAAGGGTGGCGCAGCGCTGGGTCCTAAAAAGCCCTGATTCCTCGCCCCCCTCCCAGCCTCGCGCGGAGCTGGGCCTCCCTCAACCCTGGAACCGGGGGCGTCCGCCCCGCACCGCTTCTGCTGCTCGCCGGGAACCCGCCGACGCTCCGCCTTCAGGGAGTGCCACTAGATGGGCGGGGGCTCACAGAGACGTCTGGCCCGTGCCCCCGAGTGAAACAGAGGTGAGAAGGGCGTCGGCACCCGCCCCTCTCCTTCCTAACTAGGGACTGTCTGATTTGCTGGTGAGACCGGGCGTCCTTGATCGCCATCAAAGATGCCTTCACCACGACGGGTTCTGACTGCGCTAGTAAACCTTTTTGAACCAACTCTTCTCACCAAACCCAGAGCTCCCATGACCCTTCCATATGGATCCTTTTACCTCACTCGCTAGTGTGGCGCTGCAGGATAATACACTGGACACAAGGTTGGTTTGAACCACAAGGTCGTCAGCTCAAATCCACCAGCCATTCATCGGAAACCTTAGACAGGGTCGCTATGAGTAGGAACTGACTCGACGGCACTTAACAACAACATGAGTCCCAAATAACACTCTGCACACATTGACCTCTAAGCCATCCACTAACAGTCCAGTACCTCTGGACCCTTGTAAGGCTTTTTTGACCGCTTACAGACCCTAGGGCCTTCATAACTCCCAACTGACTCTAGTCTCTCAGTCCCCCACCGTGCTCACACAACCCTGCCACTTGCTCAGAGCTCAGAGCTCACGGTCCCTCCCACATTTATCTTAGGTTGGGGTCTTTATGGAAAGGACATTCTGCCTTCAGAAGAAAGAGGGAGCATCTGCTCCTAGTGTCCCTGGACATTGCCCCCCCTCACCTGCCTCTGTCATCTGAGGTTGTGTACGTGGGGGGTGGGGGGGTGTTGGGTGGGAATGGCAGAATGGCTGCCTGCTGTGATCCCTACAGCTTTGCAGGATACCACAGTTGATCCTGGGAGAGGGAATTTCAGTTGAGATATCTTGCCCTAAAATCTTAGCACATGCTTGTGGTCAGTGAGTGCCTCAGTTTACCAAGTTGGGCAGTTTACCAAGTTTACTTTTTTCAGGCTCTGTCTCCAGAACAGGGGCAAAGAGATGAATGAGATTCAGTCCCTGGCCTTGAGGAACTCCCAGGCCCTTGGGGAAGTGGAAAGGTGGAGGTGGGAAGGGTTGAGACAGGGGGTAGCCAGTCCAGATCCAGGAGCAGTTGTGTTGGGAGAGAGGCTTATTGATTTGAGCCCAGTCCAATCGAATGCAGGCTGCCTGGCTGGGCAAAGGACGATTTAATTAAGACACAAAGCTCTTATTTACTTGTTGGTGCTTGCTAACTGTGCAGACAGCTGTCTATCTACACAGACCCACAGACACCATTGGGGACCTGGAGACACAACTGTACCACAGACCCCCTCCTTCTCACTTGGCCAGGAAATCTGTGTGTGATAGGGTGAAGGTTGGGGGAGGCAGCTAGACAGGACAATGGATGAAGGATGGGAAAAGGACAAGAAGACAAAAAGAAGCAGAGTTAGGGACAGAAATAGGACAGAGATGGGCCAAGATAAAGCCAGGGCTGGAATCCGGGGCTAGGATGTCACCTTCTCCCTCCCATGACTGATCTCCATTATTTCATTTAGAAAGGAGTATTTTTCTCTCCAAGAAACCACTCTATCTCAGAGGAATGCAGGGGTAAAAAGCTCCTTTGAGTGTCTCTCTCATTCTCTAATCACAAGAAAGCCTGTTCTGATCCAGACTAGCCGGGCCCAAATCCAGCTCCCCAAGACACAGTCTCTCAGAGAGATCTACCCAGACTTAGGGAAATGACAAAACAGAGATCCCAGAAGGAAGAGTAAGAGATGGGCACAGACAGACAGATCAACAGAGTTCTGGTGTAGCAATGTAAGATAAGCATTGGACTGCAACCCACAAGGTCAACAGTTCAAACCCACCAGCCACTACTTGGAAACTATATGTGGTAGCTGTGAGTTGGAGCCGACTTGATAGTACTTTATAGCAACAGACAGAAAGACATACACACTGTCAGAGACATAGCTGGGAGAAACCACTATGGAGAGAGACAAAAAAAAAAAGAGAACTCTTTAAACCTTGCCCAATCTTTATTCTCTCCCAGGATGACTTCTGTGATTCCTGCAGCCCAAGGGGCCCAGGGTGTCACCTCTTTTCTCTTCTACAGGACTATCTGGGCTCAGAACATGACCCCAACCATCTCCAGAGTTCATCTTGTTTCCATAAATGACTGTTAGTGCTCCCAGCGCTTTCCCTTGTTTGCTTCTCCCACAGTGCCCAGCACACAGTAGTTTCTCACTAATGGCTAGATGGTTTGAGAAAGCCCCCTTGAATCCCTTCCCTCCAGTGTCAGAGATGGGGGAATCTGGCGCCCCTAACACACAGTTGGGAAGGAGCTTGGCTAAGGTCTCATAGGAATTCAGTGCAGCATTCTGCCCCCTAGTGAGTCACGATGGAGTCTGAAAGGTGACCCAGATGGTGGGAAATAGCTGGTGGAGAAAGAAAAGAGGTGTAGAGACAGAAAGAGCTTCTAGTAGGAGGAAGTCTGGCTGATTAGAAACTCTGGTTAGGCCTGGTCCTAGAGGGCTGCTAGAGAAAGAGAGGCCGCCAGGGAGGGAGGGAGAGGGAGTGTGACATCCCCTCTGAGGTAAGCATGAGAGAGATCAAGCACCCTGAGGTGTCTGATGCTGTCCCACTTTATGATTATCACTTGGTTCCTGATACCACCCCCCAGCCCAGGCCCCACAAAATTCCCCCCTTCTCTAGCCTAGGCAGGGACATAAAAGTCTCTCCTCTCACTCCCCCTTCACACTGCTAGAAAGCTGGCATTTTCAGAAAGCCCTGGAGGAAAAAAAAAAAAAAACCAAAAGGGCAACACAGAAATCAAAAGTCCCAGAGAAACTGGAGTGGGGAGATGGGCTGCTGACAGACCCCTAGCTTCTCACTCCTAGCCACTAGCCACAGACCCAGCCTAGCTAAGGGCTTCACCTCTTTTTTGACTTTTGAGTAGGCCCACCTTGTGATCCTGTGCCTAAGTGTCTAGGGGCACAGTAGCAGTGAACTTCTGGTGGAGTAGCATTATTCAGTTAGTTAAGAGCATGCCTGGGTTCAAATCCCAGCTCAGCCATTGACTAACTGTGACCATGCCTAACTAAGCCATTCAACCTCTCTGTGTCTTAGTTTAGAAGCTCAGGGAGAGCAGCAGTTTGAGAAAGATTTCCAGTAAAGATTTTCATCCTTGAGAACCTTAAGGGGCAGTTCTAGGCCATCTTATAGAGTTGCTATGAATTGGAATTAACTCAGTGGCAACAGGTGTTTTTGGTTTGGTGTCTCAGTTTCTTTATCTGTGAAGTGGGAATAACACCAATCCCTATTCTCTTTGGTGCAATGATTAGGCACTCAGCTGATGTATGATGAGTTACACTAAGGGAGAAAGATGTGGCAACCAGCTCTCATAAGGTTTAAAGTTTTCAGCCTAGAAAACTTTATGGTGTAGTTCTACTCTGTCACACGGAGTCACTGTGAGTTAGAATTGACTTGGCAGTGCCTAACAACAAAAACAACAACATAGCTTTACATCTCAGCTCTCAAGCTCTTCATGTTTAGGCTAAGGGGAGGGTGTTGGGCCTCCGGGAAGCTCCTCAGTAGAACTAGATAAGCTAAGGCTGGGAATGGACTAGAAAAAGATGAAGGAAGTCCTGAAGTCAACTTTGGCCTATATTCTCACACCTGGCACTTCCAGACTTTAGATCTGGCCCTGGTAGGCTCTGGAGCAGGTTTATCTCCAGCCTCTAGGCCTTGGTCCAGGTGGGCACATCCATCACGCTGATCTCCCAGGGGGCCAGTCTTAATATTCCAGTGGGTTGGGCTGCCATCTGGTGGCCACATCTAGAAACTGACTAAAGCTGGGAACAGGCTTTAGGGTTGCGGAGTTGTGAGGATAAACAGTGGAAGAGAAAGGCACCCTTTTGCCCAGACCTGACTTCCCTTCCCAGTGGGCAGGGGAGCATGAGTGTCTAGGTGCCATAGTGAGAAATTAGTGACTGTGGTTGCTTGAGCCTGAGCTAGGAGTAGGCTGGACTAGGCTGAGGTAATGTATACAGCTACTCCTTCCAGCAGTCTATGGAGTAGGGGTTCCCACATCTCTTAGACAATGGAAAGTCTGGAAAGTGACCGAGATTAAGAATCCTTTGAGATGACTAGGTTTTGTGGCACTGTAGGATAAGCACTGGACTGCAAGGTTGGTTTGATTTGCAAGGTCGGCAGTTCAAACTTACCAGTTGCTGCTCAGAAACCCTATACAGGGTTGCTATGAGTTGAAATGATGTTCTGGTGTGGTGCCGTGGGTTAATGCACTGGATTGCAATGACAGCTTGAACCTCAAGGTCGGCGGTTCAAGCTCACCAGCCGCTCCTTGGAAACCCTATACCGGGTCGCTATGGATCAGAACCGACTCGATGGCACTTAGCAACATGAGTTGAAACAGACTCGACCACACTTCACAACAACAATATACTATTAACAAGGTAGTGTTGTGGGTTAGGCATTGGGCTGATAACCACAAGGCTAGAGGTTCAAATCCACCAGCTACTCCGAGAGAGATAGATGAGGTTGTCTGCTTCTGTAGAGATTTATGGTCTCAGAAACCCTATATAGGATCTGACTATGAGTTGGAATTGACCTCACGATGACAGTGGGTTTGTTTTGTTTTTGTACACTATTAACATTTGGGTCTGATTAATTCTTTGCTGAAGGAGCTCTGGTAGCGTAGTGGTTATGAATCGAACTGTGAACCTTAAGGTCAGCAGTTTGAAACTACCAGCTGCTCCGTGGGAAAAAGATGAGGCTTTCTGTTCCCGTAAAGATTTACAGCCTCGGAAAACCTGTACAGGGTTGCTATGGGTTGGAATCGACTAGACGGCACATAACAACAACAACAACAACAACAACAACAACAACAACAACAACAACAATTCTTTGCTGAGAGGCTTTCCCTGCACTGTAGGATGTTCAGCAGCATCTCTGGCCTCCATCCACTAGATGCCAGTAGAATCCCTCTCCCAGTGTAACAATAAAAAATGTCTACATATATTAACAAATGCCCCCTGGTATATCAAATGCCCTCTGGTTGAGAACCACTGGCTTAGACATATTGGTTACAAATCTGATTTTGCTGCTCATTGTTGTTGTTAGGTGTCATTGAGTTGGTTCGGACTTGTACTAACCCTATGTACAACAGAATGAAATATTTCCTGGTCCTTCACCATCTCCTATGTTTAAAGACACTGTTGCAAGCACTGTATCAATCATTTCATTGAGGGTCTTCCTTTTTTTT